AAGATCCGTAATAAGAGAGACTGGCTCATGGTAGCTTCATTTTTCACCAAATTCCCATGTAATACACTAACATATCCTAATAATGGTTTATAAACCAAAGTCATCAGCACGGAGACATCGAGTTCTCGTGTTTCTTCCTGATCGATTATTCCTTAATTCATTTTTCTTCTTTTTTAAATTTTGAAAAAGTTGAAGATTAGTGGTCATTTCAAAATCAAGTGACTAATCGGCAACGCGTGTTAGGTGTTGACTTATCCCTATTTAGGATTCGGGATAAAAATTCCCCGTGCGTGTGACACACGGATTTTGGAGTTGAAGGATGGTGTCTTCTCTTGGGCCAAAGATGAACCCAAAATAGGAGAGGAAGAATTTTATATTCTATCTCCCAAAACCGAAGAGGAAAAATTTTATATTCTATCTCTAGTTGCCAAGAAAACTCGAAGTGGGATCTCCACCCTAGGAATCCAGAAAAGTGAAACTAGGAGTGGGATCTCCACTCCGAGAATCGGAAAGATTCAAGTAACCCTAACTTTTATAGGATTGGTTGCTTAATCCAAGACAATAATTCCTTATTTATTGAGGTGAAATTCCGATTTCGGCCCTAACTTTTATAGGTTTGGCAAAAAAGAAATAGGTGGAAGTTTTCGTTTATCGAAAGGATATTCCGGTCTTGGTCCTAACTGTTTAAAGGTTTAACCAAGATGGAAATTCGAGATGATCCTAACTGTTTAAATGTTTGATCATTCAATTTGTGGACCTCACGTTCATGGAAGGAATTAAGAGGGGATTTTGGTTGTGGTCCTAACTGTTTAAAGGTTTGACCAAGATGAGAATTCGAGACGACCCTAACTGTTTAAAGGTTTGATCGTTTAATTTGTGAACCTCTCGTTCATGGAAGGAATCGAGAGGGGATTTTGGTTGTGGTCCTAACTGTTTAAATGTTTGACCAAGATGAAAATTTGAGACGATCTTAACTGTTTAAATGTTTAATCGTTCAATTTGTGGACCTCTCGTTCATGGAAGGAATCAAGAGGGGATTTTGGTTGTGGTCCTAACTGTTTAAATGTTTGACCAAAATGGAAATTTGAGACGATCCTAACTGTTTAAAGGTTTGATCATTCAATTTGTGGACCTCTCGTTCATAGAAGGAATTGAGATGAGATTTTGGTTGTGGTCCTAACTGTTTAAAGGTTTGACTAAGATGGGGAATTTGAGACGACCCTAACTATTTAAAGGTTTGATCGTTCAATTTGTGGACCTCTCGATCATAGAAGGAATCGAGAGGGGATTTTGGGTTTTGTCCTAACTGTTTAAAGGTTTGACCAGGAAATTTGAGATGATCCTAACTGTTTAAAGGTTTGATCGTTCAATTTGTGGACCTTTCGTTCATGGAAGGAATCGAGAGGGGATTTTGGTTGTGGCCCTAACTGTTTAAAGGTTTGACCAAGATGGAGTGGGAGTGCAAATCACAATGGGAGTATTGATTCGTACAAATCACTCAAAGGGGGTTCCTGGTGTTAAGTAACAAATACTTAACATAGAGGGATTTAACAATTGTTAATGATCATGAGATTAAAATTCAGAGTACTCTGTCCGCACTCAAACAATGGGAGGGTTGAGTACACAGACGTAGCAAGAGTTTGAGTGGATTCAACCGAAAGGAATTTTAGTGGTCCCACTGTCAGTTAGTCTAATCGGTGGGGGATTTTTGTGGTGGAAGACTATGAATCATCATCAAAAGAGTGTTCAGAAATCACAGTGGGGTTTAGTGTTTATCACTTTGTTTGTAATGATTGGGTTATCCCTAAGAAAATTACATGTAGCATTCTTCCGGGAACTTCCTGTTATATGAATCATCCACCCCCAGCTTCCTTTGTGGAACTAGGTCTGACTTTGTACTCAGTTACATGACCGGGTTATCCATAAGAATATTACGTATAAAAATTCTTCAAGAACTTCCCGTCAATGGTAGGAAACTGTTTAGACTCATATACCTATTAGAGTATCGGAAGGAGCAGTTTATACTCTTATACTTGTCGGAGTATTGCGCCGTCATTCGGATTATTCTAGCTTTACGGTGCCAGAGTCGATTAAAGATTGAAGCTTATTCTTTAGACCGAAACAAACCTCAGTAGGATGGAGAATCCTCCTGTGATATGCACAGTAATTTAGGTCTGTAATTCTCTTAGCTCCCTCCTGATCTTTAATAGGTGGTAACTCAATCTCCCCGTTATTCAGGAGGTACTCGAAAATATCTGGAACTTCCTCATCTTTGAAAGAGTACTCTTTTTGGACTCTTGGATATGGAGTCCTTTTCTGCTTTTGAGGTTGTTATTGTGACGTCTGATTATTATCACCAGCAACCACAGGCATTGACTGCTGGCCTCTTTCGGTCTTCTTCCTTCTGAGGAAGTGTTCGGCCCGCTCTCAGCGCACCTTCAACTCTTTCCAGTTGTTGGACGGTGCTAATCCCATAACTTTCAACATGTCCAAAGAGAGGTTGTTGTGACAGGTTCGGAGGATGAAGTCCTCCGTGATCGGATCTCGGCAGTTCATCGCCTTATTCCGGAAGCGCTTGACGAAGTCGTCGATTGTCTCATCGTCTTTTTGCTTCTCATCGAAGAGTGTCCTGATTGACACCTCGGCGTCATCATCAAAGAAGTGAGCGAGGAATAGGTTCTCCAGGTCGTCCCAGTTGTTGATGCTTCCAAACTTGAGACGGCGGTACCAATCGAAGGCTGGCCCACGAAGGGTGTCAACGAATGACCGAACCATCAAGGCTTCATTGCCGGAGATCATACCCAAGCGGGACTTGAAGTAGATCAGATGTTGAGTGGGAGAACCCTTCCCGTCATACGGCGTAAAGTTAATCAGGTTGAACTTCGCCGGGTATGCTATTGAATCCCACTCTCTTGGATAGGGATATGGAATGCCAGTCTTTTTTACCTCTCGAGCAGACATTAGAGCGTTGATTTTGCCCTTGAGATCTTTCATTCATCCTCGCTCGTATCGGGCCTTGGACGATTTTTAAGAGGAATAATAGGGCCACCCCCAGTGTTATCATCATTGGTAGGACCACCCCTAACATTTTGGTCAACAATAGGGTTATTATCATTGATGTATTCATCCATGTCTGAATCGCTTTCTGCTTGGTTGACATTGTTGCAATGACTGGATTCACCTATCTGGTTCGATAAGGCTCGGATTTGTTGGTCGTGCTCTTCCTTCATCCGTACCATAGTCATTTCCAATTCGAACTTGAAGTCCTCTTTTTGCTTAGTCAAAGCATCCTCGATGATTTTGGCTATTTGCTCAGTATTGATCATGAATGCTTCGCGAGATTGACCAGGGCTGGATACCGTATTGTCAGAAGCGACTGCAGAGTTGGCATCTGACGCTTCGTCCTCTGAGGATAATCCTCGATTCATCCTCTGATAGTCTCTTTGTCTAACGGTTCCCGACCGTAAACGGGTTAGACGATGCGATATGAGAGGGTCAGAACTAGAGGGTTGAATTGACTTTCCTCTATCAGCCATATAAACTGTGACTGCAGATTGTTTAGGTCCGACCGCTTCCAGCTTGAGTCGAGACATCAGTTGGTCTATTCCCGAATTAACTCTTCTTCCTGGAGAAAAGTCGGGGCTAGAACCACTTGAAACAATCGGGGGCTTTCCCTTATTGACCACATTGATGGTAACTTCTGGGAATTCGTCATCTCGAACAGCCGATCGTTTCTTGCGGAAACGCCTTGGTTTGGACTCGATCGTTCTGTTAGATATCGTCTCGCATACCGAAACCCTCTGCGGAGTGGTCTTGGGACAGCTACACACTGATAATACTGCCCTGATAATATTGCCACACGGACAATGAACGCCCATTTCCCGGGTATGTCTTTTTCGAGATCTATCCATACATGCTGCAGGAGGATTGCACTCAGCAAACGATGCAGCTTGTTACATCGGTGATGAATCTTTTGGATGGTCAGATTGTAGCAGTAGGGTGGATCACTGACGAGATATTATTGACGACCGCCCGTCATGGAAGAAGCCGTCAGTAATGCGTATTACTGACGACCGCCCGTCATGGATGTTTCTTCTTTGATGGGACTTTTATTGATGACGTATCCTTGACGGCTCCCCGTCAAGGATATGCATCCCTGACGCGATTTCTGACGGGCTTGACGAGATAGCCTATCAAGGAAGTCATAGTTTCTACTAGTGATAATAGGTTGGTTTTGAGAATCATATGCGAGTCGTAGGTCCATGATCCGTAATAAGAGAGACCGGCTCACGGTAGCTTTATTTTTCACCAAATTCCCATGTAATACACTAACATATCCTAATAATGGTTTATAAACCAAAGTCATCAGCACGGAGACATCGAGTTCTCGTGTTTCTTCCTGATCGATTATTCCTTAATTCATTTTTCTTCTTTTTTAAATTTTGAAAAAGTTGAAGATCAGTGGTCATTTCAAAATCGTGTGAAACTTTAGTCCCATGTTGGACAGAAAATAATAATTTACGACCTTATTCTTACCGTGTTAATAGGCACAGGAACAGAGGGGGCTCTCACACGCAAACAAGCGTAGTGGGCCCATGTAGGAAATTAGGCAATCGGAGGCTTTTTTACACACCAAGATTATGCAGGAAAGAAGTTTCCCTCCAGCTTGAGAGTCTGCTTCCATTTTCATAGTAGTAATCCATCATATTTATCCAAAAATTTTACAACATACATATTGTGGGATCTATATGTAATATGTATTTTGTAATCACCACTTGCACGGTTCGCCCATGTGATTAAACCATAGTTAAAAGAGTTCTTTATACATCCATCATCATTACAAGTTAATAATAAATTGCAGATCTATATCTGGATTAAAAAAAAAAACCTTTAACTAATTAAAGCAAACAGCTATATAAACCCTGTAACCTTTCTTAACTCCTCATTGGTCTCTCTCTCCTTAACAACTAATTGAGAAGAAACAAGAAATCATATTAACGATGGCAGCAGGGAGTGAAGATCTAAGGCTAAGCCTGAGCCTTTCCTCCTCCGAAAACTTTTTCCCATTGAATCTGACATTATCGCCTCCTTCAACTTCACCTTCAAAAGCTATCAATGGCGAAACCGAAGAAGAGGCAGAAGCATGGTCACCGGTGAGTACATTGTCCAGTCTGAGCGGGAAGAGACGCGAGAGAGACGATAATGAGGTTGAAGAAGATGGACAGAATTCCTTCAAGAAACTCAGGCTGTCCAAAGAGCAGACGACGGTACTTGAAGAAAGCTTCAAGGAGCACAACACTCTGAATCCAGTAAGCAGTCTTTTTCTTCATCTTGATGACGATTTTGTCTACGTAAAGCTGAAAGTTATGGAAAGTGACGTACTTAATTGGTGACGATTTATGTGCAGAAACAGAAGCAGGGTTTGGCGACGCAGCTTAACCTGCGGCCGAGACAGGTGGAAGTCTGGTTCCAAAATAGAAGAGCAAGGTAACAGCTCAGAAATCTCGTCTTAATTTCTGAAGGAGCTAATTACTGAGATAGACCCCTTACTATCACCCAAACGCGGATAGACTCCGTGATCGAGCGAAAGTTTTTGACTCTTCCACCCCTCAAGAGGTTTATTTGTCGGAAGACAATTTTCTCTTTCTTCCCCCCCCCAGAAGTCCATTTTGTCCAATACGAAATTTATGACATTTTGCTCAATAGAAAATTAGTAGCATTTTTGAGTTTAGCTATTTTTTTAATAATTAATTAATTTTAAACCGTGCTGAAATTTACGCATAAATTTTTTATCGCAGGACTAAGCTAAAGCAGACAGGAGAAGAATGTGAGTACCTGAAGAAATGGTGCCAGAAGCTAGCCGAAGAGAACAGCAGGCTTCAGAAAGAGGTCGGAGAGCTGAGAGCACTGAAATCAGTATCATCCAATTCTCCAACTCCTCCCACAGCATCACCACCTCCTCTTTTGATCTGATGAACCCTTGGGCCTCATATTTTTTCACAGGGGCCTCTTGATACCAGTTCAGGGAACTATCATTCTAATTATAGGTTACTCCATTTGCATAATCAAATTCATAATGTTGCACAGTAAGTGGCAGCATTGTCTTTGTGAAATTGATCCATATATATATACGAATGCAATACGCACGCTCAAGATCAATGGGCCATTAATTATTTGCTCTGGCATCGTGTTTATAAGATTAAAATTACAGAAATACAACTACTAATCTCATGGCTCTTTAGTCTTTGTCAAATATATAGCTATCTATGCAGTGTTCCAAACTGATGTAATACTGCTCTGGTCAAAGCCCAGAATTAATGATCTTTTCACTTGTGCTTGTTGATGTACTTGAATAAGAGAATCATATAACTGAAATATATCTGAGAGTGCAAGTCCAGATAAGCTACAATAATATTGTTCCACTTAAAGTAATTATTAACAGCTAAACCCTTTTCCCTAATTGAGTCTATTCCTCTACCTCATTCATTTACCCTTTTCCGAGCAATAGATGCCAGCAAACGCATAAATTATTCGCAATAAACGGCTCATATTCACCGCAAAACAAGAAATAACGGATGAAACCCTTTAAATACAGACACTTACGGATATATTTACAGGAGTTGAGAGATGTCATTTAATGTCAGCTTAATTATAAGTACAAAGGTAAATCTATATCAAATGATAAATTGCACAAAAAAATCATGAAGACAAGAAAATATGGTTGAAGTATCAAAGTATCACAACCTATTGAGGGACACCTTACGTTTGTCATAAGATAAGCTTTGTATTTTCTACTATAACTATGGGAACTGAGCCAATTCTTCAATATTAGATATCAAAATTCCCTCATAATGTGGAGATGCAGATTGGCAAGCCTCTATTAGACAGTCTCACTCGTGATTACATTACGCTAATCACTTTTATCATATGACATGAGCGAGCCTAGAGATTTCTTAAGGTTGAAGTATTTGTAGTTGTTGAGTTAATAAACCTTCAGTGGTCCACAGCGATCTGATCAAATGTACCAAAAATAACACACTAAACACAAAACCAGAAAATAGAGAGACAATCACAAACATACAATATTTACGTGGTTCGATCAAATTGATCTACGTCCACGGCAAGAGGGGGCTTTTAATATATTTCTCTCTGTGTTTCAACCCTTGTACAAAATTTGAGAGCAATCATCTTTTTTTAGCTCTATGTTTTAGTGGAGAAAAGGAGTCCCTTTGTTCATGAAAGAAGAGATGAGAGTGTGATTGATGAGGAGGACCCACGAGTGAGAGTGACCCCAATCAAAAAAAATCTCTTCCTCATGAGAGTGACACTCCAGTCAAATAAAATCTCCTCTTTGCTCAAAATAAAATATGATGTCATTCTTCAATCAAAAACTGGGTCCCGTCAGAGATTTGAAATGGGTCCCACCCATTTTGGATTCAAGCCAAAAATCAACAATCTCCACCTTGGATTGAATCCTCAAACATCAATAACTAGAGAATTTCACCGTCTTGCAAACAATGCTCCAAACGGGGCCACATAACAAGTGCGAACGCCTCCCAAATTCAAGAAGTGCTTGAACTTGAAGGCCGGGGTCAGTTTGGTCAACATGTCAGCTGGGTTGTCTGTAGTACCAATCTTCTTCATCTTGATGTTTCTTTCAGCAGTTTCCTCACGAATGAAATGATATCTGACATCAATATGCTTTGTCCTCTCATGATGTGTTGAGTTTTTGCTTAGATGTATTATGCTCTGATTATCGCAAAATACATGAACTAGCCTCCTACTGAAGTCCAAGCTCCCTTACGAGATTTCTCAACCAAATAGCCTCTTTTACCGCTGTTCGCGGGGAAAACTGTTTTCTTTTTCATTGAGATAATTGTCATCTTGGGTTACAAAGATCCGGTCTTTTATAGATCCGGTTACAACTAAATCAAAGAAAAAAAGTAAAAATTACAACTTTCCTCTTGTGAACAAATCGCGAGCTCCTGTTTTGCGGTCGCTCGCTTTGGTGGGTTCTTTGCCGGCGCCGGGGTTAATCCGTGGACCACCGCGCGATCTAGATCCGGTTGGATCTACACGATTATACGGGTATTAGTCCACGAAGGGAATAATAGCCGGGGAGGATTGATTCACCAAGGAAACAATCGTCCAGATCTCGGGATCTAAGACCAAGCTTAGATCCGGAGTGTGATAGCGTGTAGATCTCAAATCTGTTCTTTGCCTCCTCTCGAAATCCTGCCTTTTCTGACGTGGATGCTCGCCGAGGATCAGATCTGTATGTGCAAGTCTTCAAGTCTTCAAAGCTCTGAGATCACTCTTCAATCCGGCAGAGTTTCGGCTCTTGAAATTCCCGTCCGAGTCCGCTCTCGGTTGGATGACTCGTTGATTCCTCAACTCATTAGCTTGATTCTGCACGCGGGTGGATTCATTCCGTCGCTTCCGTGCGATTCGTCGATCTCGTCGCCTCGTTGGTTCGTCGGTTTGTGCCGAGCTATGCTAGGGGACCTATAAGCAATTTTATATGCCTACAGATACCCCCTCCAAAGTATTTCAGTCTCGTTCTTTTATAGAAGAGTCTGGAATACTTTGGATATGATTGCCCCCACCTTTAGTCGGTGTAATGGGATCTTGGAATGATTCCCGTTCTTGACTCCTTCAATTCTCCAGGCTTTTCGGTGCTTTGTCGAAAGTCTGTAAGAGTTCCGGTGCTGCATTTATTGTCTGACCGTTTGTCGGAATTTTGAACTTTGAAGTCGATTCCTGATTTCTAATTTTTAGCTGACCATCGATTGTGGCGTCGAGTCTTTATGTACAACGCGTTGTCCGGCGTAGTGTGGTTGAGTTATCCTTAAGAATATTTATAAACAATATTCTCCAGGAACTTCTCAAACCAAAAATAGGGAATAGTTTATACTCATATACCTTATTGGAGTATTAAGAAGCAGTTTATACTCGTATACTTTTCGGAGTGTTCTTTAGGTTCGAATAATCTGAACCGGCCCCAAAAAATGTGCCAAAAAAGGCAGTATTGGGTTCAAAAATCTCTCAGACTCTTCCAAATATATGGTAGAGGGGTTAAATAGGTGAAGGAATGAACCGTAGGTTGATCAAAAGTCGTTTCCATGCTTAATTCAGCTTCAATTTGAATTCTGGTTCAAATTTGGTTCAAACTGGTTCAATTTGGCTCAAACTGGCTCATTCTGGCTCAATATGGCTCATTCTGGTCTGGTCTGGTCCAGCCAGGCTCAATCTGACTCAATTTGGCTCATTCTGGCATAATCTGGCTCATTCTGGTCCATTCTGGTCCATTCTGACTTGGTCTGGTTCAGCCCGGTCTGGTCTGGTTCAGCCAGATCTGGTTCAAGGCTATAAAAGAGGCTCTTTTTATTTTTTTTTTATTTTTTCTTCTTCTCTCTCTAGGGCCGGGCCCCCCCCTTTGCCTCTTTTCTTGATTTCTCTTCCCTCGAGCGTCCAATCTCCTTAAAAACTTGATATTCGTCTTAGATCTAGTACTCCTTTTGATCCTTGACTGAAAAATCCTTCGAAACTTCCATTTTTGGAATTTCTCTCAGGCCCCTCGAGCGCGTGGTTCGAGCACTTTTCAAGATCTAATCTTTATTGGGTCTTCGAGCTTCCCCTCAGGTATATCTCCATAATTTTAGCATTTTTTTTATGCTCAGTTTAATTTATGAACTCGTGGGGTTGCGTGCGAGGGTTAGGATTATGATTCGTCGCCTCGAGCTTATCTTTCAGGGGGTAAAAATGTGACCTTTTTTTTCTAGATCTGACCTTTTGATTTATTTTGTAGGCCATTATGTCGCGAGTCTCGAGAGGTCGTTTTCCTGCTGCATCGGCTGATGGCGCGCCTCCCTCATATGCTGGTGAGCAATTTTTTTTTTGACCTTTTCGAAAATTTACAAATTAGTCCTCTTTTTTCTGGATATTTGCAAATTGGTCCAGGTGGCCGAGCCACCTATAGGTGGCTCGGTGGCCGCCGAGCCACTTGTGGCCGGCCACCCTGTGCCCAAGGCACAGTGAGGGTAGCCTATAAATAGGCCACCCCCTTGTTCATTTGAGAGGGTTGGAAATTTTGGAGAGAGGCGAAGCCCTGCTGGATTGGAGACTCGGAACTTAAAAAAGATTGAAACTTTGGGACTTCGGGGACTCACTCCTTCAGATCTGGTGCTCGGCGATCATCAACGTCAAATAAGGCAGGTGTTCGAGAGGATCGGATCTCAGATCTACGTTGCTACACTCCGGATCTAAGCTTGGTCTTAGATCCCGAGACTTGGACGATTGTTTCCTTGGTGAAACAATCCTCCCCGGCTATTATTTCCTTGGTGAAATAATACCCGTTGTACTGCGTAGATCCGACCGGATCTAGATCGCGCGGTGGTCCACGGCAAACAACCCCGGCGCAGGCAAAGAACCCACAAAGCGAGCGACCGCAAAACAGGAGCTCGCGATTCGTTCGACACAAAAGGAGAAAAGTTGTAATCTTTGTTTATTTTTATTTGATTTTCGTTGTAACCGGATCTTATAAAAAGACCGGATCTTTTGTAACTCAAAAAGTTGTAACTCAAGATGACAATGGAATCAATAACAAAGAAAGACACGAATTTTCCAGCGAACAAAATCAAATGCTGAGTAGGTAACGATTTTTCCCGTGAACAATCTGGCGACCACAGTGGGAGCCACCGATCTCGCCGACGAGATCGGAGCGTCGCAGCCGCGGATCTCAATCCCGGTCGTGGAGGAGGTCGAATACGAGTTCGATCAGACCAAGTTCGAGGAGTACCTTTCATCCTCGTCCAGATCTACCTCCCCCCGCAAGTCCAAGAAGTCCAAGTTCTCTTCCAGCAGAAAGGTGCGTTGGTACGAAGAAGTTGAAGCTACCAACGATGACCTCATCTCGATTGACGCCAAAGTTGCGTCAGATGAGGCTCCACCAATCTCCAACCAGATCAAGCTGG